TTTCCTTTCTTTTTTAGGAAATTTCCTGTAGCTCTTCTTTTAGGATCTATCTATTGTTGACAAAGTTTCTTACCTTTCTTTGATCTGAAATGTTTTGATTTTCCCTTTCATTCCTGAATGGTATTTTTTACTAGAGAAGTGATTCTGTACTGACAGTCTGTTTAACACTTGGAATGTGTTGTACCACTTCTTCTGCCCTCTACGGGTTATGTTGAGCTCACCCGTTGTCATTCAAATTGTTTCTCCCCATAGATACGGTGTCATTTCTCACTTGCTGAATTCAAAATGTTTTCTTTGTTTTTAGTTTTCAGAAGTCTGACAATGCTATTGTGGTGTGGATTTCTTTGAAAATACCCTGTTTGTGGTTAACTCTGCTTCTTGATCTATGATTTATGTCTTTGAGACTTTTTCCACCATCATTTCTCTGAATATTTTTTTTACTCTTTCACTCTCTCTGCTCTCTTTCTGGGACTAGGATGACATAATTTGTTAGATCTTTTTTTCCCATAAGTCCCTGAGACTATTGTCACCTTTCAGTCTGCAGTTGACCCTTGAACAGTATAGGGGTTCAGGGTACCAACACCCTGTGCAGTTGAAAATCCATGTATACTTTACTATTGACCCTTGAACAACGGCTTGAATTATGCGGCCTCAATTACATGCAAAATTCTTACTGGTGCTTTTGGGGTGCACTCAGGTGTTTCCAGTATTTGCTTAAAATGGTATTCAAGCCCATGTTGTTCAAGGGGGAACTGTATTTCCTCTGTCTTGTTCAGACTGACTTGTTTTTATTGTTTAATCCTTAAATTTAACTATTATTTTCTCTGTCTCCTCCATTCTACTGTGAGCCCTCACATAGAGCTTCAGATATTGGTTATTATATGTTCAGTTCTCAAATATCCATTTGGTTCTTCTAACAGTTTTCATTTCTTCACTGAGATGTTCTGTTGTTGTTTTTTGTTTTGTTTTACGTGTATTTGTAATTGCTTTTTGAAGCATTGTTTATGATGACTGCTTTAAAAATCTTTGTCAAAGAATTGTAACGTCTCTGTTATCTGGGTGTTGGTACCTATTGAATGTCGTTTTCATTCAAGTTGAGATCTTGGGTTTTGATCTGACAACTGTATTATGTTATGAGTTTGGATCTTATTTACACTGCCTACTTCTGCTGTTGCTCCAGAAGGGGAGGAGGCAGCATTGCCTTGTGCTAGGTGATATTCCTCATTTGGTCTCCATTGATACCTCTGGACTGGGTGGAAATTCATGCTCTCTGTATTGCCTCTACAGATATCTCTGATCACACCTAAGGTTGGGGTGCCTCATTCTATAGCCTGGTAATGGTCCAGGTCTAGTTTCCCCATAGACCTTTGCTGCATTGGGGTGAGAGACACAGTTTTAAATATGATATTTGGCTGAAATAGAATGGTTTTTATGTCTTCATTTTCTGTCTTACTAAGGTCCTCTTTTCCTATTCTTTTGGCTAGAGAGAGGAAACTTTTGTTGGGCTTTCTTTTGGGGGGCTTTTATAGGTCTGTACCTGTTTGTGTCTCCATGCTGCTGACTTCTTTAGCTCTAATTGTGGGCTACATAAGGAATCAAGAAGCCCTGGGAACACCCCACTGTGTTGGTCCTTGAGTCCCGACGCCCCTACTGATTTTCTTCTTTCTTTCCATTTCTCAGAGCCTCCTGTTTGTTTTCTATATGATGCTCGGGATTTGTTGAGGGAGAATTAGATGAAGGTCTCCTTCATCTTTCTGGAAGCAGAAGACCCTCCTCTCGAGTTCTTTAGAAACAGCTTCTGTTTTCTAAGAGCCAGGTTTCCATGCCAGAAATACCTTTTGTTGGAATCCTCACCGTTGGTTCATCTCTAGTAACTAGGAGTGTAAGATAGGCTATAAGGGACCCTGGGTGGCACAAATAGTTTGTGCTTGGGACCTAACCATTGGTCCTGTGGCAATCTGCTTCTGCAAAGATCACCGTCAAGAAAGTGGTTCTATTCTATGATGCCTGGATTGCCAAGAGTGAGTGCAGACTTCATGACAGTATGTTTTGCTTTTGGCTTCCTTTTTTTAGTAGACCATAGAGTAGGGAATACTATGGCATGTGTGATGGCATGTTTCCTTCTCAAATGGAGATAAAAGCCCTTTCATCAGGGAAGGAAGGTGCTCAGATGGGATTAACAAAAGTTTAGAAGTTCTTAGAAGGAACGCCATCTCCAGGAACCACATGAGAATAGTCATCGGAGGCAATTACAGACTTGTGCCAACTTCCATGGAAACATACCAATGAGGGAAAGTGCCCCAGAGAGGACTGTCTTATCTGTCTAGGTGGGCACACACAATGTGTGTGTGTGTACATGCGCACCAGTACCTGTTGGTGGAAGCATCCTGAAGTCTCCAGTTCTGTAAAAACAGAGGTGCTAAGTGTTTACCCCATCTTTGCTCACCTGAGCCACAACTTGAATGTTTTCAGCTTCCAACAAAATGATTGGGTCTCTCAAAGGCTGCATGAGATTTCTGCACTGCCAAAACTGTTGACTCTGGTGGATGGAGGTGGCAGAGCAAACTCCTCATATCACCCACCTCCCACTTCTCACTATTAAGCAGGGGCTCCTTGAGGAAGATTGATTGACCATATTAAGTGAGCCTCCGTGTGCTCGATGAGGATGTCACAAGACAAATGGCCCCTGCAGCGTGCCGCCAGCCCACCACTCATTGTCTCCATTACATTTAGACCAGAGTCATGGTTCATGAGTCAGGTGTAGTTCATTTTCTGCCTTACATGATAAACTTGTCGGCAATTGACCAATCCGTTACTTGTATGCAGAGAGTTCATTTGCAAGGCCACCTGGCTCCCTGGCGCTGCTGTCCTACTCCCATTTCACTCTGTCTAATGATCCTGTTAGCTGGTCCTAAATTTCTGGCTCCTGTGGAGCTTGCTTATTTCCCAATAGTGAAGAGGCCTCAGGCTCACCTCAGGGGTCCCTCTCTTCTGACTGGACCGGGAGTTGCAGCTTGCCCTCTTGGGCCTACCCCTCCTCGTCTGGGCAAGGAAGCCTTGGAAAAGGCAGACACCAAACCTGGGCCTATTGAACTGATTTGACAGCATGGATGCACATCAGATTGGGGCAGTTAAGTTTCAGAGGCTCTAAAGAAAGTTACAAGGCCCCCTGGCTTCCTAGGTACCAAGAAGGGCCTACAACTACAGTGCTTCACAAACCTTCAGCCTAGAGAAGAAGGGGGAACTGATTTGCTGGCTGTCCCCTTCCCCAGAATAGCCACATGAAGGCCTGCATGGGAGACCCTGACATCTCCTTTCCTTGAGATTTGCAAGTACCAGGAGAAAGGTAGTGAACTTGGAGACTGTTCTAATCTCAGGACTTCTGTGGATGCCTGGAGAAATCATCTGTGCAGAGAAGGACTCCACAGGTGTTGAGGAGACACCCAGGAGGGTCTTAGGGATTGCTGCAGGCAAGAGTAGGTCTGTCCCCTCAGGACAGACTGTGTACAGAGGGAGTTGCCCAGAGAGACACAAGCAGGGTTTCACTAGCTGGATGGACAGTTCTAGAAAACCTTGCTGGTGGACAGAAATGGGAGAGAATGGCCATGGTTGAGTGAAGACCTGGGGCATGAAGGTATGGATGCCTGACTTGCTCAGACATGTCCATCGACCTCAGAAAGGCAGATTTTCAAAGACTCAGAGAGATGATGGGCTTGTGGTTCTGCTTGAAATGATGCCTCCAGGGCAAGGGGACTCTGAAGGAGGAGTTCTGACTCAGCAGTCACAGGGTTCCCAAAGGGAAGGAAAGGGGCCAATGCTGAGTGAGTGGGGCCACTCAGGGCACACCCCGGCAAGCTGCAATCTCAAAGGGTGGTGCAGAAAGCTTGTGCAGAGGGCTGTGGACCTGAACGCAGAATCTGAGAGCATAGAGATAGCTAAGGAAGTAGCAGGATGCCACTGCTAGCAGGTACCAGCCTCGGTCCCACTGGTCAGAATTCTGAACCTCCTGTGCTCAGTGGAAGCAGTTCGCAGGGGCAACCCACCTGGGGATCCTCAGGTCTACTGTCCGGAAGGAATCTGCATGCGCAGTGTTCCCCTTGGAGAAGTCCTCATCCTTGTCTATATTCCTCCATTGCTACACCAAAGTAGGCATTGGGGAATTGCATTCTGGGAGTGGCACAGCTTTTGGAACCTCGTTCTAGAGAGACAGGACTGACGGCATTGTTGGGGTGCAGTGTCAAATAGAAGTTGCAGGCCAGGGTTAGGGGTCCCTTTGGCAGTGTGTCTCCTGCACAATTCAATGAATTTTTGCCTAATGAGCTCCACATTCATCAATCACTCTCAGAAATCTTATTGTGCAGCCCTGACCCTTCTTGCCCTGACCCTGACACTGAAGCAACAGCTAGCCACTGTGGGGAGACAACACCCTGATTTCAGAATTTCATGTAAAATTGTCCAATTTTAACATTCTGACAGCTATTTGAATGTTTGAAAATCATTCAGGTTAAATAAAATGTGTCTCTGAACCAGAGATGGCTCACAGATGCCAAAATGAAGGTGGTGTTGGATGAGGAATTAGGGCCCCATCCACTGAGGGAGGGCTACCTAGAAATCTAAACACCTATGTTGTTAAGTACCGTGGAGTCGGTTCTGACTCATAGCAACCCAGTCTAGGGTTTCCGATGGAGAAGGCCTTTGCAGCTGCTCTGCAGGAGTCACATGGTTCTAGCAAGCAGGGTCCATGACTCCACAGTCTGGCAGATTCCTGCAGGGACATTGAGGGTGAGCCATCCCAAGGTGGTTAGGGAGAGTTTCAGGACAGATAAGCAGATTTTATTGCCTATGCACTGGGGGTGGGGATCGGCCCTGACTAGATCTGGGTATCTGTGTGTTCAGGGAAAACAGAGCTGATCATCTGCCCTGAGGTGTGTAGGGCACTGGGAGAGACCCCAGGCCAGGGGCAGGGCAGATGCTCAGCTCTTTACTGTCCTGCCCCCCAGACTCCACCAACCGAGACTCACTGGACATGATTGAGCGCTCCATTTGCCTAATGTGTCTGGACACCCCAGGAGGGGTGGAGCTCAACGACACTAACATGGCCCTCCAGCTCCTCCACGGTGGAGGTTGCAGCAAGAATGGGGCAAATCGCTGGTACGACAAGTCCCTGCAGGTAAGTGCTGCATGAGTGTGGCTGCCCATTGCATAGCACAGCCGGTAACAGTGCCGTGTCTGACCAGCTCCTTCACTGGCCTTGGCTACCCAGGAGACTGGACTTCCTGGGTCAGAAAACTCTATTGGGTCAGCTGCTGGACTGGCCAGGAGCAAGAACCAAACTAAACTTAAACTACTAAGCTTCTTACAGACTATGGTCAGACTTGAGGTCTGTGTTCCACAACACACATCACATACACTGCAAGGTGGGCCATGCTAGGGGTCTGTGAGCAGAGCAGCCCCTCCCGAGTGAGCCCTCGGCACATTCAGCAAGAATCATGTATGATGCACAGGCATACTGGCTCTAATGAATGCCTGCCACTCTTACTTGAGCATTTCAACACCCCTCCCTCAACTCTTGTGAGAGAGAAACAACCCAAAGGAACCCAAAGTAAAATCATTTATATTTTTTCATCCCTATGTCATCAGCCTAGAAATAAACTGCCCTCCACATTTATTTGGCCTAGAGAAAAGTAACCATGCAGATGGAGAGGAAATGGAGGTGAGGTAAAGCCATTCTTCCCTGGTCCTCCACCTTTTGTCCTTCCCCTTGCTAATTGTGAATCAACTCTCACTGGTTTCAAGTCACAGCACTTTCATGAGACCCATATTCAATACACAGGCAAACAGTCTTAAAGCTTTGGGTTAACAACTCACACTTCTGAGCATTTCTAGGCAGTGTTGCATTTTGTTGGGTTTTTTTCCTTTACATTCTGTAGGATATCCTTTTTATACATTTGCATATTGAGTCTCTTATTTCTAATGAGTTCTCTTGCTGTTATGCTGGCTGTTTCAGCCTCTATCCGTGGTGCTAATGGCTTGTAATCTTTCATGGAGCAGCTATGTAACTAAATAAAATAATGGATGCTTGGAACCTGGGGCAGAATTAGCCTGGGTAGCAGTTTTGTAAAGGCATCAATTTCCTCCAGAAAGCAGTACTATTAGGATAGGTCCACCTCCTCCCACCTCTCACCTGGCCAAGGGACTTCCTGTTACTGCTCACATGGGCCCACCTCCGATACTCTCCTGGACTGCACACATTGATGAGCAAGTTGGGAAAACTGTATGGACCAGAGTGTAAAAGGATCAAGAGCTAGTCTCTGTACAGATATGCAAGAGAAGCAGGGGAGAGAGAGAAGTACCTACAAGGAATGAGTTTTAAGAAAAACTTTGTGGGATGTTTGTGTATTTGCTTGTTAAAGAATGGGATTGAAGAACTGGGAACTGCCACCCTCTGGGAGAGACAGGGGCAAAGGTGTGGTGAAAGGCAATTTGGTCTGTGTGCTCAATGCTATGATCTCTTCTCTGCCTTGGAGGAGATTCCAGGGAAGATTTTCATTACTTGTTTGTTTGTTTGTTTGTTTGTTTATGAAGCATACAAGGTACTCTTGAGTGATCCTGTGCAGAGATGGGTCACAAGGCAGCCAGTTTTACTTGGGTTACACTTGAAGAACCAAATCTCATCCTTTTCATTATTTTCTTTTGTGCCAGTACTTTTGTACATCCAGTACATTTCTTTTCCAAGTCAGCCTCAAGACAGCCTTTGTAAAGGGGAGTTGATAGAAAGTCATAACTAATCTTGACAGTTCAAATGGATCTTTTGTGTGCATTATCTCCTCATATCTATCCTGTGAGCTGGGCGTTATTAGACCCATTTTAAAGGAGAGCACACTGACGTCCAGAGCATTGAAGGATCTTGATGAGGATCACATAGCTGTCAGGAGGCAGCAGCAGAACTAGAATCCTGGTCAAGACGTGGACTGCCCTCAGTACACCTTTTCTTTACCCACACTAAGAGGTATTTTATTTCCCCCTAGAAATCTACATGCTATCCAAATTTAGTACAGACATACCTTGGTGATATTGTGAGTTGGCTCCAGATCACCACAATAAAATGAAAATCACAATAAAGTGAGTCACACTATGCTGGAGTGTGCAATAGTATTATTAAAAAGTTTGAAATACTGTGAGGATAACCAAAATGTGACACAAAGACACAAAGTATGCACATACTGTTGGGAAAATGGCACTGATAAACTGGCTCAGCGCAGGCTTGCCACAAACCTTCAATTTGTAAAAAATGAAATATCTGTGAATTAAACAAGCTAGGCCTGTAATTCTCTCTCATTCACTCATTCAACAAAGCTATGTGCACCTGCTATGGGGAGGACACTGGTGTAGATTCTGGGAATCTGATCAACAGTGGCCAAAACCAACAGGACTTGTCAAACAAATACTTACATGAAGAAAAGAGCCAAGAGTTCTGACTGCGGCGAGCCCGATGAGGAGAAATGGGGCTAAAAGATGCATCAGGAGCTTTCCCACCATCTGAGAACAGTGCGGACAGACACACTCAGTCACTTTTGCTGTTGTTGTTAGGTGCCTTTGGGTCAGTTCCGACTCATAGCAACCGTATGCACAACAGAACGAAACACTGCCTGGTCCTGTACCATCCTCACAGTTGTTGTTCGGTTGAACCCACTAGACTGTTTTAATTGGGGAACTTTGGGCTCCACCTACATTGCCCAGAGCATTTATTGGGAGGAGGCTGCACTGGTTCAAGCTGCTTCAAGAGCCCCCATGTCGCCGGCTGCGGTGATTATATACAGGGCTCTTTGTGGGAGCTGATATGTTTTGGTATCTTTGGAAAAGATCTGGTCTGGACCCAAGGGGCTGGTTTGGAATGCTGTCCTGTCACTTCCCTCTTTCCCTCTGCAGTTTGTGGTGGGCAGGGACGGGGTCTGTGGCGTGGTGTGTGAGCACTCCCCATTTGACGGCATCATCCTGGTGCAATGCACGGAGCACCTGCTCAAGCACATGTAAGTCTGGAGGGCAGGGCTCTTCCAGAGCTGCCAGAAGGTTGCCTTGCTGGCTCCTAAAGAATTTGGGTGGCCACTGGGGGGCTGAATCAGTATAGAAAGTCTCCTAGAGCAAAAGATGAGTCTGAATACCAGCATGTGCTGGTACTGGCCAACCATGTGCTTTATTGGCCAAGTGGGTCAAGATTTAAAATAGTTGGAGAGAGGCTAGATGGGAACGTCTTCTTTGGTCCAGGGATGCCTAGATGAATACCTATTGCTTGTCATGGGTCAAGGCCCTATCAATGGATGCCCAGCACAATGAGAGGTCTCTGAGCTGGGCTCAGGCTGGGTTCCTTTTAGCTTCATAGCTGGTCAAACTGTGGGCTTCCCTGTTCCTTAGACCCCCCATGTTTCTTCTTACATTCACCATGTTGCTCATTCTCTCTTCTAGAATATCCTCCCTGTTTCTAAATTCTAATGTCGTCCACTCTTGAGGACCACTGAAACTCAAAACCAAGGAGTCCCTGAGGGGTACAAACAGTTAAGCAATTGATTACTAACCAAAATGGCGGTGGGTCAAATCCACTCTCAGAGGAATGTCAGAAGAAAAACCTGGAAAGATCTTCTAAAAGATCTCAGCCAGTGGATGTGAGGGGGTGGGAGGAATAACCTTTGTAGACAGAACCAACAGTTTGCTTCTCAAATACTTCTCCAAGTGTTGTATAAATGTTAGTAGTGTATCTTGGGCTAGCAGGAAAAAAAGAAAAATAATAGAGGACCTTGGAATCAGATAGAGTGGGATTGAATCTGGGCTCTGCCATTCACTAATTCTGGTAGTCTCTCTGAGCCTCTGCTTCTTCTGTGTAATGGCTCAGGGCTAGATTATACCCACGGAAACTTTGTGGTTATGCACACCAACAGTTAAAATGATAGCCCAGCTTGCAGGGCCTCAGGATGTCTCCTCTGTGCCTGCAGAAAGAAAAGCACCGAGAAGCTGGTTCGAGCCGACTCTGTCAGTGAGCTCCCGGCCCCCAGGAGGCTGCGGTGGAAATGCTCCCCTGAAATTCAAGGCCACTTAGCCTCCTCGGCAGAAAAGCTTCAATGGTAAGCTTTTCAGTCTTCTCAGGGTTTATCTCCTGGTCTTCTGGGAATTACTGTACCCACCCTATCCCCCTCCCCCCCCCACCTCCTTTCCAGGAACCCTGAAGCATCCACAGACTCCCAGCTCTTCTCTGCCTCTCTCCCCGTCATGTAAATGTAGTCAAACTAAAGGGGAGTTATAACTCTCTGGGGAAGTAACCTTGCTGAAGTATCCATCATTTCCATAAAATGCAAATGTACAGCTATTTTTTTTCCCATAGGCTTCACCTGACTGAATAGAGTCAAGGCCCAGAAATCACCCCTTGCTTTTGGGGTAGCAATAAACAACTGGTTTGAATACGCTATTTGAATCCAAGCTATTTCAATTTGCTTGAATTTACACTGTAACTTAACAAGGGGGCCTTTTTGTCCAAGATGAGAGAGCAGTTCAGGCCCTACCGGGATGGGACAGGAAGACTGAGGATAGTGTGGGCTGTCTGGGTGATTCCCATGTTCCTGGTATTGAGCTAGTGCTGAGGACAGTGGTAAATGGAGGAAGCCAATGACTGACAGGCAGATCTAGTCACTAGTTGTTCATTCCTTTTTTCCATAACGTAGTACTATGACCAAGCAAATAGCTTCATGCATCTGTTCATCAAACATGTGTGGCTCCCGGGGTGTATCTTGCCAGGTTCTGTGATAAGGCTCTGGAAGTATAGAAATGGCCATACCCAGGGGTCTGCCTCCTGGAAGACGTAGACCTGTAGACCAAAATGTGTCAGATACAATAACCAGACCAAAACTTGAGACCACAGAGAAGGCAAGAGCTAAACTTAGCCAGGAAAGTGAGGGAGGCTCTTCAGAGGAGGTAGGCCTTGAAGAACATTTAGAAGTTTGTGGCATGAATGAATGAGGAACAGAGCAGAAGGCAGCTTGTTCGAACATACAGATTTCTAAAAGATCCAGGCTGCTTTGGAGACCAGCAAGGAGGGATAACACCTGAGTTGTGGCACAAAAGAAAAAATGGGGCCAAATTGTGAAGACCATAATTGTCCTTGCATTATGGGACCTTGCAATAAGGAGCCGTGGAGGACTTAGTGCAGGGGGTTCTGGAAAACAAGCAGGGACAGTTAGTCATAGTGCTGGTGGGTAGGGTGGAGGCTGGCACAGAGCCTGAGAGCTGTGGAACATGACACCTTCCGTGGGGCAGGTGGAGAGGACTCTGCTTTTCAGCTATAAAACCAGCTTATGTCTCAACCACAGTACATGTTCTCAGGGCAAATCAACAACCAGGAGAGTGGATTGTTGGGCCATCAAGTCTTGGGAAGAGGTTGAGCCTGCTCACTTTCAGGGATTTGAGCATGCCTCATACATTCTAGAAGCTCTTGGCTTTCCTTTCCGGAGAACAGAGGGAGCCTGGAGAGGCCTGGGGGGGTGGGGGTGGGGGGTGGGAGCAGAAGGAACCTTGAATCTTGAAAGGATGGGTAGGTCTGAGTGAGTAAGGTGACTCTGCTGAAGATCCATTCTGACTGTGTCAGAGTAGA